TGTGAGGTTATTTGACTTATGATGGATATTCAGGACTCGTCAGACAGATGAACCGATATCCTCATCACTAACAGACATGGATGCAGGAACATCCAGTGGACTAGTCCTGGACAAGACGAAATGTGGATCCTGAATTTCACTCGCTGCTATCCATCATCGACTAAAATGACATCAATGTCAGTCATCAGATATCATTGTAGTCTGTCCATACTAGGATGCACAACGGCGACGCCAAGACTTAAGTCCAATATAAAGGAGTCAATAAGAACATTACAATCGACTTCAACAAAAAATATTTGAAGTTGGTCGATTTAAAGTTTTAAACTTGTATTATATGAATATCTTCACAATTTTGGAAAGATAAAAAAAAGATTAACCAGATATCAGACGATTGGAAACACTTTCAGAAGAGACTGATTAATCTATGTGCGGAAAGTGTATGAACTATCTGTTCAAACGTCAGATTACTTGTGTTTACTTTCATCAAACTGTAGGACTTGTCAAGTGATCCGTATGGACTAAGTTCTAAGTCAGTAACATTCAGAGTGTTGTAAATGTTTGGGTGATTATCCCATATGTTTTTATCATGCTTTGAAACGAAATCATTTCTATGGTTTTATTTAATTTGGTTTCTAACTCCTTCACTTTCCCAGTGGAACATAGAGCTTCAGCCTAGAGGCTTGGAGTTTCGGTAGCAGTGGTGTTTATTTTTGTTTTACGGGATAGGGTTGCTAGCCTAATGCCCAACCTTTCCTCTTTACCAACTTTATTTCTGACTGAGGAAGGTAAAGAAATGCGTCCGTGGCCGGGTATCGAATCCTGGACAGTATGCATGGTAAGCGAGCATCCTACCACAGCACCATCGACACCTATGGTTATATTTAATAATGTATACAAATTCTCAAGACAAAACTCTCAGATATTTGTTTTATTTCTTCAGTCATATACCGAAAACGCACCCAACAAAACTCAAAGTTTACATAAGCATGCAGTTAGAAAGAAAACTTTATGAAGTAATTTGAAATTCTATTCTATACAGAGGAATGAATGAGTGGTGAAGACAAAGTAACTGCATTATTTGTTGAAAATGAGTCCGTAGTCAAAAGATGACTAGCTGAACTAAACATCCCTTTCCTCTGACTGCTTACCTTTCTTTATTAGAATACTTCTTTTACAACATTTAATTTAACACGCCAAATGTTTGAAAAAAGAGGGATTTTGAAGTTATTCAAAACTTCAAACAACTTTATCCATTCTGAAAAGATCAGAAACGTGTAGTCTGTTTGGGAAATATTTCGCTAGATGCTCATATGACGATTATATTGATAAGGCTTATTATTGGACGTCTACGCCGTATTGATGAGTCAGCACTCCCAGTTACTTCCTGTTATCTGTTCATCGATGCGCAGAACAACTCCTGACAGCCATGTAAATAAAGGTTACTCTTGTTTTGACCATATATATATATATATATATATATATAAATCCAGTCAGTAGCACACTCTGTATGAATACACCACTGTGCCAATACATTCATCAGTACCATTTAAGTTAGTCATGATTCTTTGCGTCTTCATCAAGAAAGCTAATATCGGCATTCACTACATAGAGTCTGGCAAAACAGAACAAAACAGAACCCCATTGGATTCATTTACTGTCATGTGGCTTTTGACAATTTCAGTTCATGTTCTTCTTGATCTACATGACTTCCTAGCAGCAATTAACTTAATTCTCAACATTTCGTTTATTGTTATAACAAATGGCAAGCAAATTACAAAGAAGAAACCTTACATGGAAGGCAACAGTCAGATCATCAGTGTACTTCATCAGCACGAGGCGAATGATGTAAGAAGAAACTGCAAAAGAAGAAGAACGGAACCTTGAGGGACACTAGATACAGTAAGGGAAGCAGTTGAAGCCTCTCCTTGATAACCAATGTACTGCTTCCTATCAGAAAAATAAGAATGCAACATTATTTATTAATCTAGCACCCAGAACCAACTTATAGTGGCGGTCTGGCGGTCTGATTGAATCACGAAGCGGTCTAAATTTCCATCCGGTACAATGCATAAAATTGTCTCCATTAATTATTTTATTAATCATCTTACTGTGTTTCTGGATGCCTACAAGAACTCGCATGGAGTTTACTGTAATACAGAGCACTTTCAACACAAATTAAAAAAAATATCCCAGAGATTTGGATATTGCTTCAGATGAAACAACGCAGAGTCATACGATATGCTGTCGAATACCATTTTAGCTGAATATCCTCTACGAAGAGTAGATATTTTGCAACTTAAATACTCTGAAAATTCTGCACTGTGTGTTAAAAAGCTGTTTAGAGTTAAGCTATTACTAGCATTATTTTTACGGGTTTGATCATTGATCGATATCAGTTAGAGAACCATTGAAAACCAGGGAGTACTGGACAGCTGTTTCAACAGCCTAGTATGGGAATCATCGGCACTACACACCCATCACTATGGTTGGAACCCAGGACCTTCCAGTTAAAAGGCAAACTCGCATACCATTCAGTCACTGGTCCCGATTCAATGGCCACTAAAGAAATTCTAACTTCTCTGACGTTTTATTTAGCGTTACCACCAACCAATGTCACCGGTGGGACATCCATCCCCACACTTGACTGGATGGACTTCAGTGGTCATGAATTCTCACTAGAACTCCAGAGAACATTAGATTAGTTTTAAAGAGTTGGTTTGCAAGGATTAGATTTGTTATTTTTTGAGTTTGACCACCGATTGATATCATCTGGAGAACCATTGACAAATGAGGCCTAGATATGGAATCAAAGGCAGATGTGTAATCTAGGAGGGCACACCGAACATGTTTACCACTTTTATCTAAACTGGAGACAACAGCCGTACCTAAAGTACATCTGTCATGTTTTTAGGCAAATTATTTTGGGTCATCAAAAGCCTTCAATGAAGGTTCAAGGTTAACTTAGTGTAATGTTCCCATTATTTATCAAAATGTTAAGGTGTTAGCAATAGGTCTAAGCTTAATGCATGATCCACTTGTTAATTTGGGCATCGGAACAATTTTAATGTCATTCATTCTATAAATTTATAAAATACTTGATAAAGCAATTCAGTGATTATTGTAATAAGTGGATTTAAAGTTCTATAGGTTAAAACTTCAGAATTATAATTCACCCGTCAAATATAACATCATTTCTTTTGATTTAATTTCTTTTAAGAATACAGCCTTTTCATCACCTCTCGATGTGATATGAATGTCCATCTCTCAAAGCCTTTAAATGTTATAGTACTTTAGGGGTAGTTGCTAAGTTCAAGTGTTAAGCGAATAATGAAAAAAAGGTTTAAACCATTTTTCGAAGACAGAGGTGTGGAAGCTGTAAAAGAGGATTTTGAAAATAGTTTCGTTAGGAATTTAAGCAAGATGGAATAATCTGTTCTATCGTCCATCATTCTGAATTAATATTACTGCAAGCCACTTGTCGTCTTATTCCTTAGAAACAGCAATGTATCCAGTGGTTTATGATCTCATGTAGTTTTTTCTCGGCGAAGTCGTCCTTCAGACAATAATATTGATTGAGGTATGTTGTGTGTGAGTGCAACATATATGTAAATTATGTTATATCACATTTGCTGACAGTCTCATAACCCATTAATCCAGTCTACTTATTAATTTTACTGTTAACATATTTAGAAAATCAAAATAAGTGATTCAGCGAAGGGGCTCTTTTCAACTGATTTATTACCAAGCTGTACAATGGTGTATATCATGAGAAGAAGGACATCATAGTCCCTGAAAAGAACATTCCCTGCTGTATCTTTGAGAATAGTCTTTACCAGTCGACCACTACTGTTCAATAACTCGAAGGACAAGATCCCACTGTTGACCAAATCTATGTACCTTTATCAATTCATCTGGTCGTGTGGAGCTAGGTATATCGGTCGTTTGACTCGAGTTTTGTCCAAGAGGCTGCAAGAACACTATCCTGCATGGTAGTTACGAAGAGGTGGAAGTGGAGCAATAAGAAGCATGATCATTGGACATCTGGTCAACCCTGATCACCCTATGTCTACAGCCTCCGCCTTTAAAGTTATCTAGAAGGCGAAGAGTAATTTACCGAAATCCTACGTACCTAACTCATGTGTATTGGGGAAGCTTTGGCTATCGAAACAGAAAAGCCAGATTCTGTGTACAGAAAAAGTTCGCTCAACCTCCTAATCATAATTTGACTCTACCTATTTTTCATTTTGTTTATTCAACTTGTATACTCTTCCTTTATTACGCCACTTGTACTTTCGACTGTCCCCTGCATTATTTCTCTTGTTCCACTTGTCATTCTAAATCAATTCTGTTTTGCACTGTTAAATTCTATGTTATCGATTTTACACAATGTTACGTAACTTTTTTGTACTTATTTTATTTGCCTACTAGTCCTATAATTGCACACACTTTTTAAAATTCTATCCATCCTATGAATTATTCTATATATGACACTAATTGTTTTGCCACTTGACATCATTGAACTATGATTATAATCATAAATATTTTGATTGCATTTCTTACTACCATTATTATTATCATTTTATGCATTCACACCTACGATTCAATTCCCTAACTGGATTAATTTCTTAAAAAAGAACCATGTGTATATACGATTGTACAGCTTGACAATAAATCATTGTTGAAAAGAGTCTCTTCCCTGAATCACTTGTTTTGATTTTCTACATATCTCAATGGGAATTTTCCATGAATTTCCGTATTGATCGTTTATCCAAAGATTCGGGTGAATGTCAGTAATAGTTCGATGCACTGGTACTCAAATGTCAGCAAACTTTATATGTCTCTCAATAGATAGTTACTAGCCATACGTAACTTTTCCATAGGAAACTGACGACATTTGGTCTGTTGCCTCATTTGCGCTGAACAAAACGTTGTGTTAAATAATTTAAAAAAATATACTTACAGTAAGATAAAATGCATGTATAAACAATATTTTCATTTACCATAGACTTTTTCTGATGATCGTCTTTGACGTGTTATTGGTGTATAAATCCCACGCATTGCACAAACACGTTTAAGATTTTGTAAGAAATCATCACCACACATACGTATTGAACGCTCTTGTATAGGGAATCCACCGCCAAATTCTGGTAGCATACGTGTAGCATAACCGAATTCAACTTGTACTGCATTCTTTATTGAAAATAAATATACAAATGTATAAAATAGTATTGTCCAAAAGTGTGTAATCATCTTTGTCTATGAATGAAACGGTAAAAATAATAATAAGGTTTAGAAATTGTTATTCAACTATTTTGTTTTAAAAAACAATGAAGATCTTATTGAATGTTTCAATGTTCTTTGTTATTTTTATTTTTTTTTTAATGAGGAAATAATGTTCTCTAAGAAGGGGAAGAAAATAAAAATTACTTCTCGTTGCAGAATACGTTTTAATTATATATATATATATATATATATATACAGGAAACTGAGTTAATATTATTCTTATTTGTTGTAGAATTGTTTTACTTACTCAAAAGCATTTATTAGTAGAATAAATTCGAGTGTGTGCAATTAAATTAACCAATCAGATTCCAGATTGTTATAATTACCTCAAAATGATGTTAGAGTGAAGAAAAATCACTGGTATGTATGTATTAATAGATAAAATATATAGTCTCACGTGATACGCTAATGAAAGTCCATCTGAACTCTATCTAGGTGAGAAGAGTAGAAGGCTCATTTTTGACGATTTATTTTAGTTGGAATTATTCTGAATTAATCATATATAGATGTACATAGAAATACTATGAATCCACGCAACTAAGTTTAAATCATTAATGGTTTAATATTTTGTAAAGATTGTTCTGGCGTTTTTTGTCTACAATATTCCATGTAATCAGAAAGTGACCTAACCTTGTTTTATTTTATTAAACTGTTTTCATAATTTTGTTTGTGATGAATTCGATGCTATTTATTAACAATTTGGTGAAGTTTAATTGAATTTTTGATTTTCCCGTCGATTGATTGGAGCGAAATGTTCGGTCTCAGGTTGACATATCTGTTGGCTTCTTGTGCAGATGCTTCGACAGTGTCTGAGCATTTCATTAGTATTTAATTGGTGGCAATTGGTGACTAACAGTGGAATCCAGGATAATGCGCATTTCGTTCTATTTGAAACTCGTCATCTGGATATACCTGCATTTCTCAGTGAGTGATGATGTTCCCACTGGGGCTCGAACCCAACGCCATCAATTAAATACTAATTAAATGCTCAGACATCGTCGAAGCATCTGCACAAGAAGCCAACAGACATGTCAACCTGAGACAGAACACTTCGCTCCAATCAATCGACGGGAAAATCAAAAATTAAATTGATATGACCCGTTGCACAAGAGGTGGCTCTCGTGGTCCAAGCAGTCTAGTGGATAACGTTTTAGCGTTTGAAACTATGGGCACTGGGTTCGAGCCTCAGTGGGAACATCATCACTCACTGAGAAATGCAGGTTCACCCAGATGACGAGTCCCAAATAGGACGAAATGCGCGTTATCCTTGATTCCACTGCTAATCACCATCCACCAATTAAATTTGGTGAAGTATATTAGTAATCCATTAGTACATGTCTATTTCTTTCTGTCTTGTGCAGTTTTGATGACAAAGATTTCGTTATAAGCTGACATAAGTTAGAGAACCATTGAAAAGCTACCTGGAAGTACTGGACGGCTGCTTTGTTAGCCTAGTTTGTGTCTCTTCAACAGTACGCACACTTACTGGGTGGGGTTCGAACCCACGACCTATAAATATTGCCCCAATCGATATTGCATCATTTGTCCCAGTTATAGATGATTTTTTTTGTCTGAATTCTTATAAGCTTATATGTTCTTGTGGGATGACGTTTAGTCGGGCTTTTACATACATCCCCTCTTATTTTTAGTCATCTGGACGTTTGACTCACATATTTAGACTGGAAACTCGGCCCAAGCTATTTTGTAAATTATATATTGTTTTTATTGGAGCATTGTGAAGTATTCATGTGAGGGGGGGGGTGCTCGATGTTCAGAGATGATAAGGTGTTCGAGGATGGAGCTGTTGCTATTCTTCTTTTCTACTCTGGCTAGTGATTTAATTGTTAAATATAATTACGAATGTACAGCTGATTAAAATGAATCGTCGTAAAAGAAAATTTTGCTTCTCTGTTTACATCTTTTTCTTATAAAAGATGCATATTTTCAAAAATTAGTCTGTGGGGATTTGATATATTTCAGGTAAGACCACACACAGATTGATATCGGTTAGAGAACCATTGAAAACCATCATGGTGTACTGGATAGCTGTTGCATCTTAGTTCGGGACTCACTGGCAGTACGCAATTACTGTATTTCGAACTGAGAACCTTCCGGTTACAAGTCAAGATCGTATACCATTCAGAGTTTCAATCTAGAACAAAACAGCTGTCCAATGGTTCTCTAACTGATATCAATTCGTGGTCTAACTTGTAATATATATATATATATATATATATACATTTAATGAATCGTCATTTCACTGTTACAGGAAGTGTTTAAGTAGAATATCTCTGTTTTACATTCAAAGGATTGCCGAAAATCTCGTTTTATCCGTCACTTACAAATAAAGACTCATTATTATTATTATTCATTCATTGAATGGAACGTAGTTCTTCAGTGACACTCCTCCATCGTTATCATTTAAAGGTAGTTCGACTATTGCTCATAAGCTTCCACCTCCTTTTCACATGATATGTGCGTCGGTGGCATAGTGGTTAGGACTCTCGCCGACCATGCATATGATTCGGCGTCCGATCCTCTGCAGACGCACACCCGATATCTATGGTCGGCCTGAAAACTTTGGGCTACCGATTTCACATGCTGAAAATTCCATACTTGTACCAAAAATACGGTGTGGAATCAAGCTGTAAATCTAAAAATCTAAAAAAATAATTTACTGGATTGCTGAAACAAAATGGCTAGCTGTTGTACAGCTAGTATCGGTTAAAATTTGTGAAAAGTTTTTTATTTGCAAGAGTTAGTTTGTAGAAAATGGATCTGTTTCATGTTTGACCACGGTTTAATGTCAGTTGGATAACCATTGAAAACCATCAGAGAGTACTGGACAGCCGGTTTCGTCCCATTTTGGGACTCACCAACGGTATGCAAAAACCGCCATGGTTCCAACCCAGGACCTTTCGGTTACAAGGAAAGCTCGCAGATCATTTAGTCCTTGGGACCCAACTGAGTAGCCATCGCATGATTTTTTAACTTCTACCAATTCATGATTTTAACGTGACTGGCACTGTCATCCACTGTCATCCGCGGCGAGTATTTGTTCTCATTCCCGACCGAGTGCACCCCACTGCTCATCATGTTTCACTAGAACTCCAGGAAACAACAAACTCAATTTCCCATTGTTTGATTTCATTTAAACGAGATGCTGGATCTCTCTTGGTATATATCAGCTGCTGGGGGGTAGGGATGCTTCAATGATGCCATGAAAACAATTTGATAACAGATTTCGCTGCTAGCCAACGCCAATCGTAAAACATCAAAATGAGGCGTATCAGCTCTCTGTTGAGTTTTTCAATGAAAAGAAGATTTCTTGTAATAGTCTAGTAATGAAATTCAGTTTTTCTGATAATCCTTAGTGTAACTCCTCTTTTGAATACCAGAAGAAAATATCTTGTTCTAAGAACATCTTATTCACTGTGTGGCTGAAGGCAGTCGGCAAGAAACCTTGGACCTAGGTGCTTTCGTGCTTTCTGGCACTCATAATCAAGGTATACCCGGAATGTTAAAGGGAATCACATCCCTTTTGAAATTTGAACCCAGGTCACCCAGTGTTGCGGCCAGAGACGTTACCACTGAGCTATTCGGGCTCCTGATTTAGCCTCGCTTAGGACTGTAACAGACACTTTGGTAACACACCAGTGAGTAATCAGTGTCTTGAGTCTAGTCTTTAATGTGGACTGAATCCTATCAGTTTATTTAAGCATAACAACCATATATATATACACATATAATTAATTTTCACTGTAGCACACCACAGAGAAATGTGGATAAATTCATATTTCGCTAGTTTTCCCTCAGAAAATTAGGAATCTCTGCGAGTATTTATGTTCTGTATAACTTTTATCTGTAAGACAGAATATAGGCCCATGTTAAATATGCTTATTGATAAGATATATCAGAACGGATTACGATCATTATTACTTTAACTTCTGAGTGGAACATAGGGCTTTAGCAACATATCTCCACTTTGTTCTGTTCTCCACCGTCCTCTTCAACTAAGTCCACGACTGACGAAAATCTCTCATCTCTTCCCCACATTATCTCTCTTCCACGTCACCCTAGAACGACCCACTCATCGCTTCCCATTTGGATCCCACTCGAGCGCCTGACGCGCGATATCATTTAACGGCCTCCTACCCAATTCACCTCCACTTTCTCCTACATATTTGTTGAGCGATCGGCCCTTAGTTGGTTTGTTCTCAGCCAGAGTCTCTTGTTGCTAATACTTTCTAGCCAGTCGGCCATTTGATGTTCAGTATGTAGCCAGCAAAGGCAGGTGTTGATGAAAGTCTGCAACCTGTTGTAAATCCTTTACATGACACAGTGGTCAAGTTTATGACCCGTGTAGAAGGATCGACTTCACATTTGTGTTGAAAATACGAATTTTGTTCCTCATGCTAAGTGCGGAAGATTCCTAAATTAATTTTAGGTTGATGAAGGCATATCTTGCCTTTCTGATTCTGCTTGGATTTGTCATCTTCAGCCTGTCCGCCCACCTGTAGTTGAAACTGTGCTTCCTGTCGAATAAGTGAAAGAGTTAACCTCTGTTAAATCTCTCCTTTTGATGGTGGTTGGTGCTGGTTGTTGTTGCTGTTGGTTTGTTGGTTGGTTGGTCAGTTTTCTGCATCGTCTCCGTCTTCTGTGTTCACTTGAAGTGCTGTTTTCACTTCCTCTTCAGCCAGTTTGTCGGTTTTCGCTTGCAAGTCTTCGAATTTGTGTGACATTAAACATATATTATCCGCGAAATCCAGATCTTCCAGAGTCATTTTATCGGCAGTCCACCGTATTACTGTCTTCTCACTCCCAACAGTTTGACACATAATCCAGTCCACCATAATTAAAAATATCAGCCGGGAAAATGAATCGAATTAGTTCGTCGTTATTCCATAGTATGTATATGTACTAAATATCCCTTTTATTTTCCACTAGTATATTTTAGAAATGGAAGGCGTTTTGAAGACCTGCTTAGTTATATTTTATTCTGTCAAAGATAACGTGTAATACCTCTTCACTATATATACCTATGAATTCACATGATATTAAATCCGGGATTACTGATCTTATGATGATCACTGTAACGACGGGAGCCGACCAGTTATTTATTTATTTTTGATTACAGCTTGATTCCACACTGTA